TAGGACAATCATGTTTGGCATACTGTCTAAGCTGACAGTATGTGCTTAGTTAACCTGAGAACCTAATGAATGGATGTGGACATGCTTGCAGTGATTGGGCTATGTTTGTGTTCCTGCCTGAAAGCCATCCGACATATACTTCTAGCAAGTCAGAGTTTGTATTGATGTTTGGTTAAAAAAGAAAGAGGCTGTAGCAGCCACAGTTCAGCACATAAGAGAGGAATAAGCTTCATTAAACCAACAAAGGAGTCAACAGGGCCTGACAGAAGTAACTCTCCACAAGGAAAAGACTCAGAGGAACAAACCCAGTGGAAGAGAATAATAATGAGAAACTAGAGACATACAAGATATTCTACACTGTTTCATGGTTTCACAGAAGAAACAGGCTCTGAATCTCCAGAAGAGTTCCATCAATAAATCTTGATTTCAGCAAGGCATTTGACAAGACATCTCATGAGATTCTGATTACTAAGTTAATTAAAATGTGGGCTGGATGGTATGGCAATGAACTGGATACAAAGTCGGCTCAAATATCATACTAGAAAAATGCTAATTGATGATTCCTTATCAAACTGGAGGTAAGAATCAGTGAGACATCACAAAGTTCAATCTTCAGCCCTGTAGTCTTCAACATTTTTATAACGACTTGGATGAAGAGATGAAAGGAATGCTGAGTAGATTTGAGATGACATGAAATAGGGGTAGCTAATTCAATTGCAGAAATAAAATTCAAAACAATTTGTGGTAGGCTAGAAAATAACAGGCTGAAATTTAACAAAACCTAAATGCAGAGTTTTATGTTTAGGAAGCAGGAATCAAATCCACAGATGTCAAATGGGGGATACATGATTAACAAATACAACTAATAGTAGTTGTAGCAAATACTCCATTCTCAACTACTGTATAGAGACAAAGGACTAAAAGAAAAAGGAATATTTATTTTTGAGAAAGGAAGACTGAGAGGAGATTCTGATTAACAAGGTAGTTAAATATGGACTGGATGTCATATTTATTAGGTGGATTCATCAAAACCATACTCAAACAATCCTTATTGATGATGCATCAACATACTGGAATGAGGTATCAAGTGAAGTGTCACAGGACTTGTTCTGGATTTGATGCTCTTCAACAGTTTTATTACTGACTTGGATGAACAGTAGGAGAAAAAGTTTATCAGATTACAGATAACACAAAATTGGGTGGGATATCTAATATTCTAGAGGACAGAGACAAATTGAAAATGAGAAGTGCTGAAAATAACAATGCAATTTAATAGAGACAAATACAAGTTCTTCACTTAGGAAAAAAGTAACCAAATGCACAGGTGTAGAATGGAGGATATCTGGCTTGCAAAAAGAACTTAGTAAAAAGCATCCTGGAATTACACTTCCATCTTATAGTTACAAAATAAACATGAGTTAGCAGGTTGGCATGGCAACTAACAAGGTAAATGAAAATTTAGGCTTTATCACTAGAAGTATAGTTTCCAAATCAGATGAAGCAACAGTTCCAGTATATTTTGGTCCATCTCTACCTTGAATACTATATCCAATTCTGGTCACCCCATTTGAAAAAGATTCAAAGACACTGGGGAAGGTGCAGAGAAGGTCAATAAGGATGATCAGGGGACTGGAAACTAAGTCTTACATGAAAAAAATAAAAGGAACTGCTTATGTTTAGTCTGAAGAAAAAGAAATGATTGAGAGGGGACATGATAATACTGAAAGGCATCTTATAGAAGACACTTTTCCATTATCTCAGACAGCTGGTCATGGAATAATTGTCTTATATTACAGGAAGCACATTGCAGTTGAATGTTAAGAAAAAAAACCCCTTTCTAATAGCAAGCAATATTTGACAGCAAAACCAGTTACCAAAGAGGTGATGAGTTCCCTTCCCTGGACATGCTCCAACAAAGGCTGGACATCCATCTGTCAGGAGTTGTCAGGCCTAGCCCAAAGAACTCCTGGACACCATGCAGGTTCAGTCAGCAAGGTTTATTAGCCAGCGCCTGTTTACAGAAATATTCTCA